AGAGAGAGAGAGAGAGAGAGAGAGAGAGAGAGAGAGAGAGAGAGAGAGAGAGAGAGAGAGATTCTGTGAAAGTTGGCAGAAGTCTGACGAAACAATATGTCTGCCCCAGCCATTTTGGTGGGGTTGCATTCATCCTTTGCGGAACAAGGCCCTACACGTTCATGCAAAAAAGGAGAAAGTGCTATTTAGTCCTTCGCGACATCCATTAAAATTGGAGTGATACAGAGAAGATTAACATGGTCCCTGTGCAAGGATGACACGGAAAAAAAAAAAAAAAGTTCTTTAAAAAAGGGAAAAAAAACTGCTTATAGTACCTATCCAGTTCTCCAAGAGCTGGTGGAGATACAGGAGTCTCTAGAGATTGAGACAGCTATGGAGGGTGTTTTTTCCCTTTCTTTGAGCCAGCTATGGCCACATCAAGTTTTGAGTTTCGGACAAGCAAAAGAACAACACACCTGCATGTCAGTCCCACGCCAAAAGGCCACAAGTGGTTAACAGGGACCCCTACTTTTCAGCCCCAGGGTAACCCCCCAAGCACTGAAAAGTGCATTTGAAGAGTTTTTGCGGTAGGTAAAGGCAAGGGCAAGCCATCATTTTTTTGGGGGGCAGGGGGAGCAAGCAATCATATGAAGAGGTGTTAACCTTTTTAATTAGGTTATTTAATATTTATTGATTGTATGATTACTTAACCAATCAATAAGTTGCCGCGGTGACTTACTTCACAGGCGAGGACTCTGGTTCAAATCCAGGATAGCCCATTTATTCTTTATTTGTTGCATAAAGGGGCCTGCGCCCGCTGGAAGAAGGCTCAGCCCGGTTGTAACTGCCTGTGCGTGCCCTAAGTGAAGGCGGGCCCTGAAATTGCTCACCACCTCCAGAATTAAGGGCTGCGTGGGATGGTTGAGCCCATATGTTGGTTGCAGCATCGCCAACCCCGATTGGTTGTAGATGGGACCCAGAAAGATGCTGAGGCCCAGGGCACTTACAGTTGAGCCCCAGGCACATTCTGGAAGGGCCCTGGCCCCTGCTCTTAGGACAGAGGCCGAGTAGTCTGGAAGCTGCCTAGCGCACCCACGGTCTGCACAAAAGGAGAGGCAGGAGAGTCACTCTCATTCTTGCCACTGGCTAACTGGCGTGAGCGCTGCTGCATTGCTTGCTCAAGCGCATGCACACTGCACGAGAGCCAGGGTGAGAGAGCGCTGGCGGGGCACACGAGAGGCTGTGTGGCGCAGCCAAGGCCAAGCAGTTGCCATAGCCAGGTCGCTGTTTGTATGGGCAGAATGGGGATGATTGATGGAGGAGGTGTGATGAGGGCTGACATTGTCCACGAGTTCATTAATGGATGATGCATGTCATGAAGAGGGAGAGTGGTAGAGGGGAGATGTGGAAGCTGGAGGTGATGCAGGTAGAGACTAGGTTGGTGGATGGGTGACTTCGGCTGGAGTGATACGTTGCAGATTGAAGATTGGAAGACTCAAAGCTGGAGGGGGAGTTATCCACCATCACAGCACTCATGCACATCAGTAGGGGACATGCCTCCACAGCGATTTGGACCTGGGTACAATAATTTCGATGCCCACGTTCCTTCGTCTCTCAGGACTGCCTGCGAGAGGCTGCTGGCAGGTTTAGTAGTTTTGACTCGCAGTGTGGCATGGATACTGGAGACGGTGAGCTATGCTATGGTCCAACGCTCTTCATCGTTCGTCCCTGTGCCAAGATAGAAGCATAATTGACCACGTGGCGGCTGAAATGCCTTTGGGTCGGTGAAGGAGAAGATGAGGTTCGGAGTGGGGGAGGGACATGTTGTATGGCACCTATAGGGTGGGTTTCGGGTATTCTTCCTTGATGTTTAGAAAGGTTATTTGGTTGGAATTTTCATGCAGTTGGTGTTTAATTTCTTTTGACAATTGCTAATGAAGTTGGTGTTTAATTTGTTTAATTTCTTTTGACAATTGCTAATGATCCTTGTGATGTTTGCGTTCTTAGAGACATAACCTTTTCATTCATTTCTAACTATTACTTCTTTACTTAAAAATACTTTTTTTTTTCAACTCCTAATTTCGAAGTTCTAAATTCCCATAGTAATCAGCCTTGATGTCTTACCTTCTAAATCTTCCAATTTTGATCTCCAACTCTTTAAAAAGAAGAAAGACGGGGGTACAACCAGGAGCTTCACTGAGATCACCAGAATCTTTTCCTGACCTTTTTCCTTTCTCTGAGTTAGCGTTGGTTGATTTGGATTGGTTTGGTCAAGGGGAAGGGTTGTGCGTATAGACTGAAATCAGGGAAAATTTGCTGCTAGGATGAAAAAGCTTATCTGGTGGACTTAAGATAGTCTGAGGAGGCAGCAATTTTGTTAAATTTTGTTAAATAAGCATAGCTGCTCAGTTAACCCCCCCAGTCTCACCGGGGCAGTCAACGCTGGCAGCCAGATACCCTCTTACCATCTGCAGTTTATAAAATGTTCACATGGGACGCTGGACCCATTTTCCAGCAGGTGAGGCTCCCCACCAATAGATTGGAGCAACTGGACCGCACCCTAGGGGAGGTTGCTCGTAGCACCTTGCCTAGTGATGCTGAACTGGTTTTAGGAAGAAAAAAGAAAAAAAAGAATGGGGTGCAGGGGTTATGGGCCGGAGGTTTTCCTCTGGCAGGAATCAGCAGTGTGGCAGGAATCAGCCCTGCGGCGAACTGGTGTGAGTGCGGGATCGACAGCACCCTGCCCCCAGATATGAGATAAGCATAAGGTAGGGAGTTTTCCCCTGAAATAAGCAGGGGGCAGTCCATGCCCTCAACCATAAGGTAGGGAAGTTTTCCCGGCCAGGAATCAGCCCTGAGGCGAACTGGTGCGGGTGCTAGATTGACATTACCATGCCCCCGGATATGAAATAAGCAGGGGGAAGTCCATACCCTCAACCATAAGGTAGGGAGGTTTCCCCTGAAATAAGGACGGGGCAGTCCTTGCCCTCAACCACAACCATCAGGTAGAGAGGTTGTGACGCACAAGCTTATATGCAGGAACGGGTTCCTGAGCCCCTTCCTTTTTTTTGGGTTGCTTGTTCGGTGACCGGGGTCGAACTAATCCAGTTCCTGTTCCTCTACCCAGTCCAGATTGCATGTCCACCACATGACGACACCGGGGCTCAGGTTGTCTCGGTCAAATGGGGCTGTAATTCTGGTTCTTCGATCCCTTCGCTGTTTGCAGGGCTTGTCCTTGATGGGCTCCGATGTATGGGACACATCGGCTAATCCCATCCCTTCGTTTCTGCATTTTTCAAAATTGGCCTTGTATCTTGATGTGCTTTTCACTTAGAATTTACGCCCACCTTAGCAAGTGCGCTCTGAATCCTTTTTCTTTCAACTTTTCCGAGCTCCGGATATCACGGGTGCCTATTGGGATACTCTGCAACGAGTCATTTCTTTGTGCATGTACATTTTGGAGACGTCCCTGCAAGCCCTGTGAATCATTTGTTGCTGGATGATATAATAGGAATCAACGTAGGAACTCACATGCTTTAGAACTCACGAGCGAAATTTTCTTCTGGTCTTTTCAATTTCGATTCAACTTTAGGAATTAGGTGCGACTTCACTGGCATGAAAGGATTTCATGCTGCAGGCACCTGAGAGCCCGGCATCAAAGGTCCCAAAGTCCCGAGGGTTCCGAAGTCCCAAGTCCTACCAT